AATCCCTAAATCCCTAAACCCCAACCCCTATACCCTAAGCCCCGCATCTGGGCCGAAGAAGGACAAGAAGAAGCATCCCTTCAGGCCGTCGCTCATGGGCCAGGCGAGGGTTTAGGGTTTAGGGTTTGGGGTTTGGGGTTTAGGGTTTAGGGTTTTAGGGTTTGGGGTTTAGGGTGGGTTTTCGTGATGGTTTGGGCTGAGAGCACACAATGCAGTTGAGCAGTATATTTTACAACGATAATATACCATATATATATATATTTACAGTTATATATATATATACAGTTATATATATACACTGTAATCTAGGCAAGAATGTTCACTGTATGATATATACTAGAATGTATACTGTAATATATACAGTATATCATATATATATACACTATAATATACCAGTGGATTCAGAAGCTTTTAGATCTTCTTTCTTGCTTGCGCACCGCCCCTGCAGACCCTCATCGACGGTGGCACGCTCATGCTTTGGAAGTCGGGGTCCGCCTCCCCAGATGAATGCGTTCAGAGGGTGGCCACCTACAAAGGTGAAGTCTGTCTGTTTACAAACCCCACTCTTGTGCGTATGACTAGTATTCCTACTACGAGTATTACTATAATCATTACTATTATTGTTACTACTATTATTACTAATGTTGTGTTGTTGGACCATCTATGCGAGTTTGTCATCAGTGATAGTGATTTCTGATCGTGAGGCAGGCGGGTGGCCCTGCCGCGAGGCCTGCAGAAAGGTGAGTGGAAGAGAAAACAGACACTACTGTATCGGATGCACAGTAGCTATAGGCTTTAGGGATTCGGGTAGTATCCCCAATAATGGAGAGTCAAATGGAAGAAATCATGGAACATGAAATGGAAACTGTGATTATGTAGGAATTTATAGGGTTCGCGAGCTATAGTCTAAACTCCTAAAGGGGTGGTATTTTGGGATTACTATCGGGGATACTGAGGGGGATACTAGGAGTTTGGATTACAGCTCGGTTTCGGGATTTGTGGGTTAGGGTGTGGTGGGGGCTGATAGTGAGGTGAAAAGCGGGGATGATTGGTTCTATTTACTAAGTCCCCCAGACCGTCCAAGTGAACTCAGAGCGGATATATTCCTTGGCCGCTTCAGCGTTACAAAAGCTTTGGTTCTTGGTACATGCCTTTCTGCTCATGATCTGATGTGTGTACCTAAGTCCGGATTTACATATTTGAGGGTGTACATGTGCAGGGTTTAACCTCCAGCTCAGTGCAAACAAGTCAGTATACATTCACACAGGACAACAGGCATCTTGCATTATTATACCTGACACTGAAGCTGAAAGCTGTAATCTCCAGACTCGGCACTGCACCCTGAAGCCCCGAAACAACTTGCCTCTGCTTGGCAATGAATGAAGGAGTGGATCCTTTTAGACAAGCTGCCCTTCAGTTATACACAATGATGTAGTAGCTTCCATTTTCTTCTCCGTTCCTTCATTCCCAGCTAGCCAGAAGTAAGAAACAAATGATGTAATCTCGCTTGACCGTAAAAGCCTTACGTGATCCCTATCTGATGCCTATGTGGGGATGTGATTGAAAGTTCGTTTGGGGAAATCATTTGGGTGGAAAACATAATCCACATATATATATATATGTCCCCTAAACCCCCCAAACCCTAAACCCCCCAAACCCTAAGCCCTAAACCCTAAACCCTAAACCCCCCAAACGCTAAGCCCTAAGCCCTAAACCCTAAACCCCAGCCCCTATGAAATCCCCATATCCTGGTACCATGGTGAGGCTGGCTTCCGCAGATCCTCCGGTGGGCACAGAGAGGCCGATGGGTTCAGCTGCTGGGAGAATTCAATTCATGATTTTGTTTTTAGACTGTGGGTTTGAGGGCTTGGGGTTTGAGGGCTTGGGGTTTGAGGGTTTTCGGGTTCTAGGCTTTAGCGTTTAGGGCTTTAGGGTTTTTAGGCTTGAGCGTTTAGGGTTTTAGGGTTGAGGGTTTAGGGTCAGGCTAGAGGAATCGTATATGATGAGGATCGGCAAGATTATTTTTGACGCCCCCAATCCGCCAAAATTGAACCTTCTAGCAGTGCTTAGATGTTCATAGAGCCCCTGCTTTAAGGTTTCAAGGGTAGGGTTGACCAACAGTCTTCAATGCTTGTTTCCTCCGGAAATGACCAGCATGGGAGACGACCGCTACTTACGACAAAATGGCTTATGTTACAGTACACGGGTCGTGAAAATTCATCAGGATCCGCAACCAAGTTTTACAGAATTGCAGACTAAATCGCCTCTTGTACGGGGAGGAGGTGTCACTGATGGCATCCTCCTCCTCTCGTAACCATGACGGTTGCAAAGAAGATTGTTAGTTGCATAGTTGAGACGATAGTAGCGAAGGTACCATGTTCGAAACTTGGACTGCTCTTTGGCTCTGGCAGACCTCCTTAAGTACTTGGACACCAGTGTTCCAGTCCTCAGAAACAGCTCGGTACTTCATGTATTCTGTCTATCTACTGGTGGTAGGTTTGAACATAACTGTTAATTTTTGTTCCCCTTAATTCTTACTATCCTTATCAAGCCATAGAAATTTCATGTTTATAGGGCCCCTACCCTAGTCTAGGAGGAACGCATATATCTTGTGGAGGCCTGCTTCGTCCGAGGGAGCGCATCACGGAGAGCATTTGGCCGGAACAGCCTTCAGGCCCCAGACCCCAGCTCAAAAACCCGAAACCCTAGGCTCTGGACACTAAACCCTAGACAATGGGCTTTGATGCCAGAGCTTCTCAATGCAACCCCTACATCATCCTTAGGAGTGCAGTATATGGAGGCTTTCCCAAAAATGGGGATGCCATCTTGGGGGTCCCTAGAACAAGGACTATGGTATTTTGGGGTGTATATTGTTTCCCACTATTTTGGGAAACTACCAGATGGGTAATTGCTGCAAAATCAAAGGGTATCATTCTGCTGTCTACCAGGGTTGCCACCAATCATATGTGTCTCAAAACGAGCGCTAAGGCATACGGCACAGCTCCCACATTCGGGGTTTAGGGTTTAGGGTGTTAACAGGAACCCCAAAACTGAGTAGTCTAGAAGAGTCAACCAGATTCCTCTCATTTGTATTTCGGGTTTAGGGCTTGCTTCGCCCCTTATCCTGCCCACCCAAGGTTCCTTCCTAATTAAGGTTTATGTTCGGGATAATCCGAGTTCATTGTTGCAAGACCAATCAAGGGGTATGCTGGGGAGGTAGTATGGGGGGAAACACATGAGTCTCAAAGCACTGCGATATATAGGTCCCAAAGCACTGCAGTGGTCCCAAGGGCGCCCCTACAGGGTTCGTTTGATTTCCGGCTTGTTTTTTGTTGAACATGTCCTTTTTGTTGGATTCAGGGCTACAAGACACCCCTGAAGTTATATAGGGGGTTTCAAAAAAAGGTCTCCTTTTTAGGGTTCCTATACTTAGGATAATGGTGCTGTGGGGTCTATATTAGGGTCCCCCTATTTTGGCAAACTACCAAGAACATATCTATCGGGATCTTACAGGGAAGCATGCTTTGTTGCAAGGAACTTCCAAACTGGGTCATTGTTGGAAATCATGTTGAGATTGTGGCGGGAGGATTGTGAACTTTGAGTTCTAAGAGTGTCCCAGTAACTCTAATCATGGCACATTGGCTTAATTCCGATTTTGAGATGATCCATCGCCTGCCCCTTTTTCTGAACCTGGTCTTGCCCCCTGCCCTTATCAGAAAGCACCCTGGCAGGTTATCATTGGTTATCATTTACAGGGGGCTTTATCTCCTGCATCTTCCACGTTAGCCTCACAGCAGTTAAGCTTATCAACATCTATTTACATCGATTTGAAACATTCCCAGATTTCGGCCCTGCCGATTTAAAAGGAATTTGGGCTTGGGTGTTTTACGGTCGTGTTTCGGGATTCTGGATTTTCTTTGAGGAGGTTCAATATTAAGGTGTATTTATTAGTAGGGAGCTGTGATTATCACAGGCTAGTGGTTCGCTATAGTAATGGATCCCCATAGTAGGCCTTATGCAGCCCCCTTGACACAGTAGCTTTATTTTTTCTTTCCCGAGGCCCTGAAAGAGTTTTCTGTTACTTGTTCCATTCCATAATCCACTTAACGCCTAAATCCCAAACAGCTGTTTGAGTTGGCTATTCCAGTATTTCAGGCACAAGAGAACGGTTCAGAATCACTTCCCTCATACCCTAAGCCCTGCAACAAACAAAAACGAACCGGAAAGTGGTTCACAATCAGCTTCCTAAACCCTAGTATCCCCCTTAATTCCCCCTTACTATTGTAGTCCCCTATATAATCCCCTTTAAGGAGTACCCTAAACCCTCAACCCTAAACCCTGAACCCTGAACCCACCAAAGCATGGTGATAGCAGGCCTGCGGATGCCCGGCCCAGCTCGGCTTCAAGGACCAGGCACGGCTGTCAGGAATAGGGTTTAGGGTTTTAGAGAACAGGGTTCAGGGTTTTAGAGTTTAGGGTTTTAGAGTTTAGGGTCTAGGGTAATAGAGAATAGGGTTTAGGGTTTTAGAGAACAGGGTGTTTGGGTCTTAGGGTGTTTAGGTTGTTTAGGGTTTTAGAGAACAGGGTTTAGGGATTTAGAGTTTAGGCTGTTTGGGTTTTAGGGTGTTTAGGGTGTTTTAGGGTTTGGGTGTTGGGGTTTGGGGTTTAGGATTAAGGGTTTAGGGTTTAAGGGGGCAAGGAGGCTTTGAATCATCTGCATTTCGGGTTTAGCTTTCAGGGAAAAACATTAGGGCGAACTCGTGCAATCGCTAAAGAAAACAAAGCTCCAAAGTATTCTTAAAGCCTTGGATCCAAGAAACTGTGCAACATCTAAAGGAGCACGCCACCTCGTTGCAAATTCATTCGATCCTTTACGTAGTGGCTTAAAACAACTATGGAGGGTTTAGGGCTTGGGGCTTATGGGAATTCTAACCCAGAACATCAAAACCCCAATCCCGAAGGATATGGGCGTTTCAAGAAAGGGGGACTCCTATTCAGCTTGACCCAGCTCGAGGCCTAAATCCCATTTTTTTTCAAGGAATAAGGAAGCCCTAGGGAGGCTCCAAGGGTGGGTTTCATGTTGAGCTATAGTCTAGAGTCCTT